TTCATCCTGACAACAAGACCAAGTTGTGGAAATGAAGTCAACCCACTTTAATAAATCGAAAGGAAACTGCGACCATACCAAAGGCAACATCATCTTGGTCTTAATATCTTCGAAAAAAAGGAAGTTTGAAAAAGAAGCTTCGCATAGGCCCATATAATTTAAAAAGTTCCAGACACAAACAAGAGATAGTTACTGAGAAGCCTTTAAAAATAAATAATGAAAGGTAAACCAGAAGATTCCTAAGACAAATGCAATCATAAATCACTAATGGGCAACTTTTTGCTTATTTATTCATCAAGGTTGACTATCAAAGACAGGATATTAAATGGAGACTGACATTAATATCACTGCAAATAAGTCAAAACGAATGTGCGTCTCTCCTGATATATTTCAGTATTAAAAATAGTATATCAATAAGTCCTATCTAGAAGCTGCAACAAGGGTCTGAAAAAGAATATGAGCCTAAGTAGGTGGATAATTAATGCAGCGCCGATAAAGCAAAGGATTCATTTACAGTAAATCAACAATCTACCAGCCACACTCGTCCTTATTTATCAAAAAAAATGAGAATACAATCGGGTTTTAAAAAATTTACCGATTCCGGAGAACCAGGCACTGGGGGTAAAGCATCTTCCTCTTCCTCATCAGGAACCAGTTTGGCATCTTCCTCGATTTCATTATCATCTTCTTCATCATCTTCATCGTCATAGTCGTCATCATCAATGCCACCTCTGATACCACTAGAACCAGACCGACGCTTTCGATTATTTTGCTGCCGCTGTATACGATTTCCACGAGAGGGGTTTGATGCATTAGCAGCCGAAGATAAGCCAATCACAACCGAACCAGAAGGAGCAGAGGCACCTCCGCTTGAGGTGCTGGTAGAGGTGGCATAGCGGGAGTTGCTAGTGGCATGAAGTTTGCCAAGACGAGAAATGGAAGCAGTGCCTCCGGCAGAAGTTGGGGTTGCCGAATGGATTAAGCCACTTCCTCTTAGTGCTCCAGTAGTGGAATTTTCTGAGAACATAGATAAGTATGCAAATAATGCGCAATAAGATATTAATAAAGATTAAAAAACAGGCTGTAGCGACCTAACGTAAATGTAGTGTATTACATCGATATGTTTTGTGGCAAAAGGATGAGCCAGACACCACTTAGGCATTTTGCCATCGAACTTCTAGAAGGTTCCACCGCTAAATGCGAGTGAATGTAATATTCCCTTAATCTAGCCAAGGTGAGAAAATAATCATGCACATTACGATTTCTACGCTAATTTTTTTCATAAGTGAGTAGGTTTTCGAGATTACCTGTAAATCACATATGGGTTGTATTCACCTTATTTCATTTAAGGCGATGAAGGAAGAAAGTCGATTTTCCCCACAATGATACGAGTAGAGCTGACGTTTCCATTGAATTTTACATAGCCTTGCCTTCCCAAAAGTGGTTCTCATCCAGGGTGGACTGCAGTTTCGACATCGCGTAGGCCTCATCAACAACCCAAGCGGTAGTCGATTGCTGTAGCAAACATAAGTTTGCTTTATTGCCAAGAGTGTCCTTGGGTCATAGGACAGATGTGAATTTCAAAGAATTTCAGATATTTTCCATATCACATTCTATGTTTGGATTGTAAATGAAGCAAACCTATATTTGATATAGCAACCAACGACATTAGTTTTTTCGTTAGTGAGTAGGTATTTGAGACTACCAGTAAATCAGTTATATGAGTTAGATTGACCATATTTCGTTTAAGGTGATGGTAGAATGGTAGTTGAATTTACCAATAATGATACGAGTAGAACTGATGATTTCCACTGCATTTGGCATAGTCTTGCTTTCTCAAAAGGTGTACACATCCAGACTGGACTGCAGTTTCGACCTCGCATAGGTCTTATCAACACCCCAAGCGGTAGTCGATTGCTATAGCAAATA